GGGGAGTGCTCTCCCTGGGCGCCTCTGTGAGATGTTTGCGTTGGGAATAGCATGTTCTATAATGTAAATGAATAGAGGCAGTAATTTAATAACTTAAGAGTTTAGAAATGTGCAGGGTGTCTTGGGAAGAAAGGTTTTCCTTTCAGCTCCTCCACTTCAGTGTTTGCATTTACGGAAGGTTTTCCATGGGTCTGTGTAGTGCCACAACAGAAGAACGATACGCCTGAAGCCTAGATATTGACGACAGCGAAACATGACTTACTCCACTTTTACCTGAGGATCATTACTGTTTACATTTCAAGTAATCCAAGAAAAATGGTACCTAGGGTAACGCTTATACTGTGAGATACATTATTTACTTATATTTGATATTAGTACAAATAATTTTCTTCTGTATTTTTTATGTGATGCTAAATTATTCAGTTTAAACTTATGACTGATCTCTGGTCCTCAGTTTTTCATTCTTCATAAAAATGCCAAATAACTACTGCAATTCACTAGGAACAGGAAATAGTTTGCACTGCAAATACAGACCTACCATCATATGCTTTAAAACTGTTATAAAAATGTAATATCTAAGCTACAGTGGCATAAAATAGGAGAAAAATCACTATTTTTGCAAGATTGCTATGTAAAATAGAGTAAGAAATAATTAAGATAACTTCAAAGTCCTACTTATAGTATCATCATCATAACCTTACTGACTGATTAAAATGATCCTCTGGATTGCTTTTTAAAGCATATTTCATATCGTTTCTTCCCTTCTGCGATAATGTGGTCTTACCATCTAAACAAATGTACTTGAAAAGTCCACCAAGTGGAAGTCTGATTTCATCTTATATTGATCCCTATCTTTGCATTTTAATTTTTTTAAAAGGTACTGTTTTATATCACGAGTGTTTTTTTCCATAACTAACTATTGTGTTTTTTTCCCCTCTAGTAGGCAACAGCTACTGTCAGGGCTCCCTCAGCTGGTGCCGCAGCTGTGACTATGCCCCGCTGATCTAATGGAAAACTGGAGATAGGAAACTAACATGTCATGAAAATAGCTGAGGATGAGGTTTAAAGATAAATATTTCTACAATTTGTTGGAATTGGGGAAGTGAAACGTGCAGTTCTGACGATAGTGACAGATTTATAGACTGAGTACACTAAATAAAAGGCATTAATCCATGAAATGAAAGCACTAGAGAGAACTGTTTTGTACGTGAGCATGGGAACGCTGAAGTCCTGTTCTCCTGTAATGGCCAAATTTTTCATATACAATATACAAAATTCTTCAAATATATAAAAGTTAAGAATAAGTTTAAACAAGAAGCAAATGAAGGGTTATTCATATATGGCATGAAACGTCTTGGGAAATATTTTGCTATAAACTGTAGGTTCAGGCGCGAGACAAGGAAACAAAAAGTTTTAATTTGTTCTTTCCTCTTTCTTTTCATTGCTTTTTTTGTTATTGTTTAGATGGCTGTGTTAGAATCCATCTAAGAAACTACAACAGAAAAATCAAAACAGTTGGAATATGAGCAGAAAATTATTTCATCATTTCCACATCTACTTCTAACTAGATTTTTTTCTCAGCTCAATGTAATGTCTTGGGATTTGCGTGCTTTGAGACTTTTCTGTGGAATAGAATTTTCTTCGAATAAAAGTTTTTGTATTGGATAAGTGACATAGCTTCCTTACATCCTCAAAAAAAAATGTCAAAAAGTGGGAGCCCTGAGAAAAGAACACATTCTTGACGTGCATTTACACCGCCTCCTGTATGACATCTAGATTCCTAATTCAGCAATGGCTTGGGTAGATAACATGATACCATCTAAATGAAAATAACTGGATAAATCTTTTTTATTACTTCTATTTGCTTTTGAAAGTAGAAAATTAGAACTTAAATTCTGTATGTGTAATAACATTCTAAGCTTTATAAAGTAAAACAATAGTAGTGCTCTTTGGGAAGAGTGTGAAGCTTTAAAAAACCCCAAATGAACAACTTTTTAGAGGTTTAAGGAGCCAGTAGTTGAATTCTTTGAAGTTTTGTTATTTATTTGCTCTTTCTTCACTAAAATTACTTTTGTTGGCTAAATGAAGTGGATACTATGTCCTTGTATCTTTTCCTGATAGACATTTAAATATCTGCTAAAGTTCCTAAGGCTACAATTTGCTTGTAATCTTCCATCTGTTTCAAAATCATTGTAAACACATACAATCAGATCTTGAGCTGTTATAAAAGCATCACATGAAGTCAGTGCAGCTATGGACTTTCTTCAGATGAGAATCTGACTTGTCATATCTGTATCTGAACCCCAAATCATGTTTTCACTATGTAATTGCTATTTTTCATCATTCTGACCACATGTTGATATTAATTGCCTGATTTTGGCTGAAAATCATGTTCACAATTATGTAACAAGGCTGCACGAAATATGGGTGTGAACTTTAAAAAATATTTAATCAAAGCTCTAGTTTTAAGCTACTTCTCTAGCAAAGAGATTACAAAAGGAAAGGCTTTATTTTTAGTGTTTTACTCATCTTGCCAGATTCCTTTAATTTTGACAGAGTCCATTGTATGTGAGACCTTTAGTCATTGCCAAGGAAAAATGTATGACAGGGACTGCTCTAGGTCAAAAATCAGGCCTATAAATAAGTCTTGTGTCGGTACTTACTGATTCGAAAGGTCACGCTTGGTACTGTCTACATGTGTTGTGTTTTGCTTTGAAAGACTGCCTTTTCAGCTGCCTTGTTCATGAAGTTCCCTGTGGTGCCCGCAGGATCGGTGTGTCCAAGGACCATGGTGTGTCCAAGGACCATGGTGTGTCCAAGGACCATGGTGTGTCTTTTCTTTTCTTTTCTTTTTTTTTTTTTGAAAGAATTGTTCCACTGCATTAGTAGCCATAAATCATACATATAAATGGGGTAGAGTGAAAGGATATGATGGAAATCAATTATTTACTTTATTCTAAAGGATTTTACTTATTTGACTGTTTGTAGCATAATCTGGGTATGTATATCACAGGTATAAGCAAGGATAAGATAAAAGCTGGAGAGGAAAACTGAGGTGTTTAAATTTTACTGTGCTTGGTAGTATTTGTCTGTGGTCAGCTGGGAAGCTAAACCAAAGCTGGACTCATGGTATTGCCTCTTGATATCTACTTTACTTTATGATAGTAAGTTTGTAAATAAACCATTAAACGCTGACTGAGTGGATGTTCTGTGTGCTTAGTTTCTGCAGCTGCAAGTGTCCCTAAAAGAAAGATGCA